CCACGAGGCGGCGAAGCTGGTTGTCGGGGACGCGGCGTGGGAGGGGCTGATGCCGGCGGACACGGCGGAGTTGGAGGCCAAGGTTCCGGGGGTTGGGAGGTACACTGCCGGCGCGATCTCGGCTATTGTCTTTGGGAGGGCGGCGCCGATGGTTGATGGGAACGTGCTGCGGGTGTTGAGCCGGCAGTTGGGTGTTTTCGGGAACGTGAAGACGGACAAGGCGACTATTGATCTCCTTTGGGCTGCGGCGGATGCACTGGTCAAAGCCGTGGCGAGGGATGCGGTTGGTGATGACGGGAGGGACGGAGAGCAGGCGCCGACGAGTGATCGGCCCGGACGATGGGGACAGGCGCTGATGGAGCTCGGGAGCACTGTTTGCACACCGAAACCGAACTGCAGCGAATGTCCCATCACGACGACGTGTCGAGCCTACGCAGAGGGCCTCCTGCTCGCTGCCAAGTCGAAGAAGCCCAAAGTGGAGGACATCGAGGACTTGTGCTCGATATGCGAGCCGTTTGAAGAAGACGGCGATGAGGGGTGTCTGTCTGGGAATGACTCTGATACTCCCCCGAAGAAGCCGACGAAGGGCGTCAAGGGGGCAAAACCCGCGGCGCCCGGGCCCAAGCAAGCCACTCTCGCCGCGTTCAAGTTCGTTTCTAAGAACGCTGAAAAGGACGACGCATCCCCGAAGCAGCGCCCGACCGTTGACGCGAAAGCTCTCGAGACCGTCGCCGAGCATGCCAGGAAGTTCCCGCTCAAGGTCGTCAAGAAGGCGGTTCGCGAAGAAGAGGCCCTCGTTTGCGCGATCCGGCGCGCCGATGGGCAGCTCCTGATCCACCGCCGCCCCGAGAAAGGCCTGCTCGCCGGACTGTGGGAGTTCCCTAGCCATACCCTCCCTGCTGCGACTAGCAACACGGCAGCGTCGCGGAAGGAGGATGCTCAAGCTTATGCGTCGGAGCTACTTACCAGCGGTAAAAAGGTGAAAATGCGGCATGCGGGAGAGCTGGGAAGCGTGCCGTGGCTGTTTTCGCATCTCAAGTTGACCATGCATGTCCACCTCTTTGAGGTGGAGGGGCCTGGAGAGTATGCGTCTTCATATGCGCGGAGTAAATGGGCTTCCGTGCAAGAGGTCGAGGACGAGTCGATGGGTACGGGGATGCGGAAGTGCTGGGCGCTGGTGCGGGAGAGGGTGGAGGAGTAGTCGAGCGGGTTGGATGAAGCAGAGGCTGATGTCCTGGATAATACCCGGCGTGTTTGTGTACCTATACGTGTAACATTGTAATGAGACTCTGACGCCGCGGCTGAAGTCGTCAGACCAATGGTCAAATCATTGAAGGCCTACATCGATTGCTACTTACCCGTTCTGGATCACTACATCCCATTCTATGCTGCCTCGACACCCCTCCAAGGCACGAAGCCGGCTGCGCATCAAAGTTTGACGTTCACGGAAGTCGCCGACCCACTGTTCATCCTCCGCTCCGGGCTCCATAGCCCCGGCCGCGTTTCCTGGAGTCTTCGGAAGGGCCGGATGGGCCCCATCTTCTCACGATGGGGCCGGCTTGGTGTTGACGGTGGATACGCTCGCATCGTGCCCTCGACCCGCCCACAACTTCCACCAAATTCTTGACCATCTTGCCCTCGCGATGTTTACAACCACAAATCAGCCTGCCCGGCTAGCTCAATCGGTAGAGCGTGAGACTCTTAATCTCAAGGTTGTGGGTTCGACCCGTAAGCGCCATCATCATCCAATTACACCTAGCAACATCATCACTAACACATCCCAGCCACGTCGGGCTCAATTCCCGTCAGCGATTGACTTCAAATCCTATCTTTTTTGCTCTCCCTCTGAATTTATCAGGGGTTAAAACTTTTGTTAGCTAGCGAGTATAAACCACGTTCTATACTTCCTCGTAGGCGTGGCCGATGCAGCAGTTGCGATACGATGATAAACCCGTCTCATAATCTCGTCACCCTTCCTTCCCCAAAACCAAGACTTGGCCAAGAAGTCCTCGCCGTATTTTCCGTGGCCCCCAAACACCTCCTCCCTGATTTTGGGGAATCCCCCTTGACCACCTGTTCACTTGATGATTTCCCCAAAAACCAAGCATCTTGGCGGGCCTTGGCACCGCGGCCTGCGAGCCTCCGTCTCCTGCACCACGGGATCCATCCCGCTTTCAGACGGCCGCGGAACCGATCGACTGTGCATTGCGGCTAAATGCGATGCTTATCTTTATCTTGATGTAGGGTGACGGCGGTAACCACACCGGGCTCGGCTTGCGTCAGGGGCCGGAAGATAGAGTTGACTAGGTCATGTCTGATCTGCGCGGTGTGTTTGGGACGCCTCCTTTGAGGGGTTTGATGCCAACAGAGCGCTGCAAGACACGGTGTTCAACTTGAGGAGTTTCTTGTAGTACTGATGCCATCGCGTGATCGACGGCTAGGAACGTTTGACGGTTCTTTCATAAGAGAATGCCCCCGGGTATTCCTTGGAAGACTTGAAGTTGAATACTGCTGTGGTCTCCTAGGATTCCTTTTACCTCTTTGTCGCGATGACGTCGTTTGTTTCGTTCCTCTTGGTTCTAGGAGTTTGTCTGTCATGTGCTTTGGCTCAATCGCCAGATCATTCTGTCAACACAACTCGTCAGTGTGATTGGAATCCCGCGGGGCCACTGCATCTTCCACTGCGTCAGACGACATGCTCCCTGCCGTATGGTCCAGAAGAGAAACCCGATAGCTCGAGGCCGTCGCCATGGACACATAGACCGGTGTGCACCAGCCCCAAGACAAAGTCCAGATACTGCGCCTTCGTCAAGAATGACTTCCACGGCGACTCCGCAGTCCTCATCCTCACATCTCCGGAGACGGCAGCCGGAGATCTCGGTTTGATCGAGGACGTCGATCCTCGGTGGCTCAGCCCTGGTTCATCTTCCTCGCCGCCGCAGATCCCGCCCTACGAAGTCCGGAAGATACCCGGGAAAGATCTGGGCGTCGTGGCTAACTCGACGATTCGCGCTGGAGAGGTCATCATGCGCGACTACCCAACCATCTTGCAGACCGTGTCGACAGAAGTGTGGGAGCAGATCGACCCGAGAGAGGCGCTATGGGTTCTCGAGGAGGGCTTTGTGCGGTTGCCGAGGGAGGTCCAGATCAGAGTCTTTGAGCTCGCGAGGAGTACAGGCGGGCATGTGCTTGAGGATGTTCTCCACACGAACACATTCGCGGCTTCGTTCAATAATGTCAGCCATTACGGGCTATTCGCCAACGTTGCGGTATGAAAGAACTTGTGTTGCTTGACAAAGGATGAAAGAAGGACTAACTGAGAAACAACAGAGAATCAACCACGATTGCAAGCCAAAGTTGGTGGTCCCGCGACAATAGGCGATTGTAGGCTTACATGATACAGCGCGGTGACTCGGTACTCTCCACGAACGCTCGCCTTGGAGGTAATGGCGTACCGGGATATTCAGCCAGGGGAAGAGCTCAGTATCAGCTGTGAGACGCCATCCTCTTTCTACATCACTGGCACTCGCCAAGCTGACACCAATACACAGACTCGCCGCTCAACATGCTCTACGCAGACCGCCAGCGGACCCTGCAGGAGTGGGGATTCAACTGCACCTGTACGCTCTGCAGCTCCGCCTCCGCCGTGGCCGTCTCAGACGCCCGCCGCGGACGGATGCAAGAGATCGTGTCGGCGCTCAACAACAAAGTCTTCCGTTCGTCGCCGGCGCGCATGGCGGAGCTCGCGGAGGAACTGAACGACGTCCTGGAGAAAGAGGGGCTGTCGGCGCAGAAGGGCGACTTTTACGACATTCTCGCGCGGGCTTATGTAGACATGGGCGAGGTCGAAACGGGCAGGAGGTATGCGCAGTTGGCGGTGGAGAAGCTGGTGCATTTTGCGGGGTACGACGACGAGAGGACGGAGAGGGCGAGGGGGCTTTTGGGGGAGTTGGGGAAAGTTGGGGGAGCGTAGGAGCAGCTTACACGGGTACGGGGGAAACGGTGTGGTGTGTGACTGATCATGAACAAGGGCATGTTCGGGGTAATACATGACGGAAGACTGTCACTCCCCTTCTTGCTGGTGTGCTGTGAGTGGTATTGGCCCGGAGTAAAGGAACCCCGGAGAGGAGGACGGGGGTGAGGTTTCCTGATTCGGGGTGCCTCGCCTAACACCGACGGGATATATCTTTTTCAGGCAGTTCCAACATGGCATGGCGTTGGGGGAGAAAGTAAACCGTTTTTTTCTTGGGGGCGCTTATTATTTTCCGACTCGCGCACACCTGCTCACGGCTATGCGGCACCGTTCCATGACCCAAGATGCTGGAACCGCGATTAGGTTCCTGCGGGAAGGGTTGTGACGCCCGACGATCCTCCCGCAACATGCTTTTCCCCTGAGCTGTCAAAAATAAGAATAACGCGTCTCTGCTATGCGTTTCTGAGGGTTGGGGGAGTTGAGGCTCTGGCTGGAGCCGCGTCCATGTGGCGCCAAGAGGCTTGGAAGGGCTTGGACGACCGCTGCCAAGGCTGCCTTGGCATGCTTCTCTGAACGTCGTGCGGATCACCAGAAGATTCAGAGAAGAAAGCCGACGATGGGAAAAAGACATTTGTAGTAAACACAGAAGCATTCTGTTTTAGAAATAATAAAAGGCAAGTTATTTCGAACAAAGACGTTAAACCATTTGACTGTGACACAATGTTGCTCTTTGCAAACGAGAACCTTGTTCGGTGTTCGATGCACGTCCCATCAACACCACAGAAAGACATCACCACCGACACAATGTCTTTATCACGATGGTCCAAATCAACCTGCGCTCCAGTATTTAAATCGGCCCACGTGCGATGGCAAATCCCTCTGCTCTCACCAAACCAGAACGCAACAACACGTCGCATCACATATCTCGGCTAACAATACGACGGCATAAACGAACCCGCGCTATTACTTACACTACCACCACAGCACAGACTTCTTTCCCCAGAAACCCCCAGAGATCTTCGCTGCCATGTGCATCCAGTACATAATCTCCGCAATCTGCACCGCCGCCGCCTGCGGCGTGCCCCAGAAGGGCTGCCGGCGCGAACACGTGGTCGTGTCGCGGCGCGAGGTGTGCCACGCCGCGGTGCCGGCGCGGTGCATGTGCTTCTTCGGCTCGTGCGGGCGCATCGTCACGCACTTTGACGACAGCGACCTGGTGAACATCGCCGAGGCGCCGTGCGAGGCGTGCGACGAGCTGTTCGTCGCGGAGCCGGAGGAGGTGCTGCTGCTCAAGATCTTCGACGCCGAGTTTGCGGAGATCTGGGCCGAGTTCTTTGGGCCGAAGCACGCTGAGCGGTGCACCGAGGGCAAGTGGCTGGGCAAGTATGACGCTGAGCAGTTGTTGTTTTACCTTGAGGACGAGGAGGAGCCCTCTGTGATGCACGACGATGGCGACATTGTTATGGAGTTCTGGGAGGGTGCGCCTGTCGCTGCTGAGGATGGTGAGTTTCATGCCATTGCGGGTGAGCCTGATGCGACTGAGTTTGAGGGATATGGTCTGGATGAGTTGTTTGAGTCTGCAGAGTGTCGCGCGGAGGATATTCCCCTTCCGTCGGACGGTGAGGCTGTGATGTTGACCTGCGATGGAGCGCAGCACGAGGACACCCACCAGATTGAGATTCACGATGAACAGGCTCAGGGAGACGAGAACTAGCAGGGACCTGGGCAGGGGACAACTAGGTGAGTGTACGCATGCTGGGAGGAAACTCGTAGATTGTTTGTGTCGGGCAAATTTGACTACGTAGACAGGACGCGCCAGAAAAGATGACCACGTAATACACACAAAACAGGATTCTCAAAGGGGAGGCCGAAGATCATCACTCGGGTTCGCGCTCTGGGTGGAAGCTCCGACGCCGGCGGATGTTAGAAAACGTTGACAGCGTGCAATGAGCGATCTTTTGCAATTTTCAAGTAAACCCCGTGACCAACATCTGGTGAAAGTCTTGGAAATCGTATGAGGTCCCAAATTGCATGCACTCAGAAACCTCCGCACGTTGGTCGGACTCGGTGGTAATTTACACGCCTGGGCCCGCGGTGGCTGGGTTTACCTGGTATGGGCAGTATGGAGCAGCGGCAATCCGTGCTCCTTTTGCGCCTTTCGCCATGTGACGAGTGGGGGTTTATTTCTTTGGCAGAAATTTCGCGTCAATTCCAAGGTCTCATCGCGTGCGTGCGGTGTGTGTGAAGTGAAAGTGTGGGTGGGAAAACACCGAGCTCGCGCTGCGAGTTGAGCGCTTAGATATCCCCAGTCCAGTTTTTACCCCGTAAAGTCCCCATTGAAGGAAGCTTCTCCGTGGGGACTTTGGGGTTGGGGAGCAGGCGAGCAGGAAAAGGGGACCTGGGGAGTTACTTTGGGGCAGAGAAAGGGTGCAACGAGACGGATGGTCGGATATCCTGGCCATCTGGCTGGACGGATGGATCTCTGCCTGCGTACGAATCACCGGGCGTGCCACTGCGCAATCATCGATGTCCTGGTTGGCCGAGACGGCATGTAAGCTTAAACTACGGGGATTCATTCGCGCGAGATCCATCTCGCCTGGGAGGATTGAGGGGAAAGCTAAGCAAGCAGACTGGAGTTCGTGGAGCAAAATGATGGGGAGGCGAATTGTCGGTCGAGGCCCGATGGGCCTGGCCTGGTCATCTGCATTTCTCATGTAACAATAACCGGCGCAGGCATACAAGCCTACAAGGGGCTACTGCCAGTATGACTCGATTTTGAAGGCTCCGCGGGCGTAAAAACCGCAGCCGTCGGTGGTTGACGAGCAAGTCGCCCTCACGGAAGATGGCCGAGCGGCAGTTGCACGCGCGGACAAACCCCGTCGACTTAGTCCCAAAGCAGCCCGAGCAGGGCCCCACCCGGCCGGCGGCGAGCTGCGGTGTCTCTGCCGCCTGCGAACCTGCGAAGGACCCGGGCCTGGGATTGGCTGCTTTGGGCAAGTCTTGGAGCAAATCTGCTGGTTTACCTTAGGCTGGACTTCTGGTTCTGGAGGCACTCACAGCGGTTCCACGTAAAAAGTTGGGACATGGATCATGGGACGACATGGGGCTTTTGCGAGGGCTTCGGCCTGGCGTTGCATCTCTCTGTCTTCCCACTCTTTCTTCTCCCAATGTTTGGTCAGCAGCAAAAACTGGAAACGCACGCTCTCGACGAGTCAGAGCGCAGCTATTATTCCTGTGAAATCTTTGGCATTGCGGGGGAGAACAGGACGGATGGTCGTCTCCAAACTTCCAAAGCGCGGAGAATGCGGAGCGGTGCACCGCTCTCCCACCTAAGGACAGGGGGGGTTGTCTACTAAGGCTGCTGTGGTGGTTTTGGCCCCGACTTGGCTTGCGCACTTGGCAAGCAAGTAAGCACCGCTCCCAAGGAACATCACGTCACTTGGCACTGGGCGGGATCGTCCTTTGTCGAACTCTTGGTCCAATCCAGCGCCGCGGAACACCATCCTGCCGGTGCAGACAAGCCTTGAGGCGGTTTTTTTCTCTCCTCGCGTGCATCACACCCTCCCTGGGCAGATTTACCCCAACCTCACCTCTCCCAGCGACCGCCGTCCCCTTCCCCCAGCCGGGACGTAAGCGGCCTTGCTTCTTCGGGCGATTCATTTCTTGTTGAGCTGGGAGACACTACTGCATCCTCTGCCCGTGGAATTGTCTCTTGGTGTGTTGCATTACGGGAACTTGCGGGAGCTTCTTGATCCCAAACCGCTGGCTTGAGAACACTAACTGTGAGAGATACGAGTCTATCGGCCTTGATGCGCGGGGTGATGGCCGTCCTCTAACCTCGCGTGGCCTCATGGGCCATCCCAGAGGCGCGAACGGTCATCTGAAGATGAGCGGAAGTCATCCCAGTTCTCCGCGGCAGGTGGTCGATTCTGAGAATTTAGACTTTGTATCAGAGCTTTTTCCGTTAACTCAAGGCCCCCCTTTTCCGTCGAATTTCTCGGGGCCAACTTTTGGGATACCAAGTTATTTCTGACACCCGGTATCACATAGATCTAGAGTCCGTTTTCCAGATCTAGTAAACCGAGGGGACCCCAAAACCGTTGTCTCTGCATGGTGCATCACTGTGGATAATACAGCTGCGAGATACGGCAAAACTGCGCCGAGAAAAACAACGAGAGCGAGAGAGAGAGACAGAGAGAACTTACAGAACGGGCGCGTCCGACAATACGGACAGCGGAGAACATCCCGGCCAGGCTGGCAGGCAATGGTTCAACCAACCCCCGACTCGAGTAGTCCGTCCTACGTGCTCCTCCTCCTCCTCTTCCTCTTCCTCTTCCTTGTCTTTTCCCCAACTACCCCAAACCAAAGCCGCCGGCGCGCGGTTGCTACAGCCGGATATGGGCAAGCTGCCGCCCACTTTACGCACCAAAGGCATCGTCTCTCGTCTCTCCCCACGCATCTCCATGTTCATCCCCATACCCTTCCCCATTCAGGTCATCAAGACATCCTTGTCTAGTTTCGTAACCAGGACACCATTCCACCCGTTCCTCCCCTCGCAATTTTTCACGATGGTGGAACGGAAGTTGAGCGATTGGTCGGTCGGCGGACCATCCCCCCGATGTGCCCCTACGACCCTTTTCCCACGGGGTCGCATTGACCACTGGCTGTCATCTCGCAGAGGGCGGGGGGAGGGATTCCAGTCGTGTGCGCGTGGTGTGTAGTTTGCATTTGTGATCTGGGTTACTCATGTAAGCTGGTGTTCCCTCCGATCACTTCCCTTTTTCCCTCCCCAGATCTTCTTGGGGTATTAATATCAACCCCCTCTCACCCATTCGACGGTTTCTTGCTCTTCAACCGTCGTGTTCAATACCTCAACCTCACGCCCCCTTCTTGTCTCTTTGTACAGCCCGCCGACGAGTCTTAACGAGCGAGCACCGAAAAGAAACAGCTTCCAAAATGGCTGGAGGTGGTGTCAAGAAACCCATCAACGTCTTCAAGCTCGGTGAGCTGGGCGAGCCCAAGGGCGTCTTCAACTGGCGACTATGGTTCGCCGTCGTCTCCTTCGGCCTCATGGGCGCCGCCCGTGGTGTCGATGAGGGTCTCATCTCTGGCGCCTTCGGCTCCAAGGATTTCCAAAAGTTCATCCACTACGACCAGTACAGCGATGTTGAGAAGACCAACATCAAGGCCAACGTCTCTGCCATGGTCCAGCTCGGTTCCGTTGCTGGTGCTCTCTTGTAAGTCGGCGCCCTCTCCCGCCGGGTGGCGTTTGCGCTTGGCTCCTTTCTCCGACTAACACAACCGGTTCAGTGCTTTCGTCATCTGTGATAAGATCGGCCGTATCTGGGCTACCCGTCAGCTCTGCGTCATTTGGATCATCGGTATTGCCATCTTCATGGCCAACAACGGCCACCTCGGCGCCGTCTACGCCGGCCGCTTCATCGCCGGTCTGGGTGTTGGCCAGACGCCCGTCGTCGGCCCCGTCTACCTTGCTGAGATTGCTCCGGCCTCCGTCCGCGGCCTGTGCACCTGCGTCTTCACCGGTTTCGTGTACCTGGGCATCGTCCTCGCGTACTTCACCAACTACGGCTGCCAGATTCACCTCGGCGACGCCACCCACAACCGATGGCTCGTGCCTACCTCGCTGCACATCATGTTCGCCGGCATCATCTTCATCCTCACCTTCTTCCAGTTCGAGTCCCCTCGTTTCCTGGTCAAGCAGGGCAAGATCGAGGAGGCCACCACGACCATGGCTCACCTGCGTCACCTCTCCGTCGACCACGAGTACGTCACCCGTGAGATCTACAACATCCAGGCCGCCCACCACGAAGAGCTCGAGGCCAGCAAGGGCGCCACCTGGTTCGGCAAGGTCAAGGAGCTCTTCCTCGTCCCCAGCAACCTGTACCGTCTCTACCTCAGCACCATGGTCCAGTTCCTCTCCCAGTGGTCCGGCGCCGGCTCCATCACCCTGTACGCCCCCGACCTGTTCAAGATCCTCGGCATCACCGGCCAGAACGAGTCCCTGCTTGTCACCGCCGTCTTCGGTGTCGTGAAGCTCACCGCCGCCATCCTCTGCGCGCTGTTCCTCGTCGACGTCATCGGCCGCAAGCGCGCCCTGCTCACGGGCATCACCCTGCAGGCCGTTGCCATGATCTACGTCGCCGGCTTCCTCACCCACGTGCCGCTCCTCGGCGTCGACGAGAGCTTCGTCCTGCCCGAGAACCTCCTCGGCGTCTCCCGCGGCGCCATCGCCATGATCTACATCTCCGGCTTCGGCTGGGCCCTCGGCTGGAACTCCATGCAGTACCTCCTGACCGCCGAGCTGTTCCCCCTCCGCGTCCGCGCCCTCGCCACCTCCTGGGCCATGACGCTGCACTTCGCCAACCAGTACGGCAACTCCCGCGCCGTGCCCAACATGCTGCTCGCCACCGACCACGGCGGCATCTCGCCCATGGGCACCTTCTGGTCCTTCGCGGCCATCACCATCATCGGCGGCGTCTGGGTCTGGTTCTTCGTCCCCGAGACCGCCGGCCGCTCGCTCGAGAGCATGGACCGCCTGTTCGAGCTGCCCTGGTACAGGATCGGTCTTTACGGCAACGCGGACGCCGAGGAGCGCGACATTGTCCACAACGAGAAGCAGGAGGCCGCCGAGGGCGTGCAGGGTGCCGCGACGCACGCTGAGAAGAGGGAGGTTTAGAGACTGTATAATGTGTACACGATAGATGCTTGAAAGCGTCTGATGGTTGAAACAAAACAAAAGGGCCCATATAATGAATGCAATATGCTCCCAAAGAAGTAATGATACGAAATTCAAGAAAGAATCATGTTCAAAAACCTTTTCGTCTTAAAATCTGATGTGTCGTTTGGCGTGAACTGAACCTCGCTTGATGTTGCTCAAACAGCAAAGTAAAAGCTGTGATCGGCCTGCATGGTGTGCGCATGAAACCCTGCAGGGAACAGAAATCTTACAATATGTATGTGACGCAACTCGACGTATTGGATGAAGATCAGAGACAATTTTACACGGACAAAGACCGCACGAAAGCAGGACGGAGAAGACCCCGTCTGCGGTCAAGGTGGGAACAGGGGGGCCGGAGATAGCCCGCACCCCCTGTGTCTGTGGAGAAGCGGAGAATTGCCGTGAGTGACTACGGCTACGACGGGGAAAGCCCGCGTATGAAAGGTGACAGGGTTCGGCCGAGGACGGGCCATCGGCAAACAGTTATATCAACACCTTCGGAACATCAAGGAAGGATGATGCAGGATGGCCTGGGTAGGATCTGTTGAGGGACGGAAATGCAACCTGTCGGCGCGGCCGTGGCATCGCGGAACGAATTGGACGTCCTCGGCCATTGATATACGCGCCGAATACGGGGCGGCCGTGTTGTTCGTCAATGACTAGTCGAATGGCTTGATTCTGCTGCCAAAGGAACCGAGAGACCGGATCCGGCCACGCTCCCAACGAGAAGATTTCAGTGACTTCGTGGAATGGATCATCGGCATATCTACGGCTCGCGAAAGCGATTCCCCCCGTGTTTGGAAGGCGACCATCCGTGGCGAGCGATCAAAACATAGGTGCCACCGCCCCTGGACCAGGAACGAGTGTCAAGCTACTGGTGTGAGGCTTAAGGTCAAGGGGGCGACAGGTTGGATCTCGGTCCCGAGTCACATGGGGAAAGGGTTATCGAATTCAATGGTTCAAACTGACGATTCCTGTGGCTCAGCCCGGCTTCAATGGGATTACGAACCCGAACAGCTCGCGTCTGCCCTCGTCCTCCCCAAGCAACGCGAAAATGCCAACCATCAGAGCCCATCCAGATTCCAGACCCCGTCTCAATGAAGCTTAGAGCACCCAGGAACCTCTTCCCCGGGTGCGCCACGAACGCCAGCGGCACCCAATCGTATCCCCCGTCTCCAAGACCACAGGACGCCCAAAGCTCCACAACAGCAGCCGATGTCTCAGCCACAGCTCTGCCAATGGCCCCATCTTCTTCAACGAAAGCAATGAATCTCTTTGAGAGGAACGACGTTGGCTTGAAGCGGACAGCGGACAGTAGCAATGGCGGCGCTCGCTTCCCCAGAGCCCGCGCGCTGCCAGCGGCCGTGCTGCCTTTGAAGGCGCTTTGCGTGCAAGCGTGGCCGATCTCCTGGGACTGGGCCATCGCGCCGCCCCCTGACACGCATCGGCAGATTCAGTGGCCAAGAGCATCATAGAAGTTCAAGCCCGTTGGCCGTTTTCGTCGGGAGGGGGACGCACCGCTCTTAATAGACATTGCGCCCATCATGCACCCGCATTGTGATCCCGTGTAACCACTGTCTCTTCGATTGTCTTCGTGTGTGTCATCCCATCGGCATCAACCGTCCACCATGAGGTCCTCTCTGGTCTCGTTGCTCCTTGTGGGAGTCGTGAGGCTGGTGTCTGGATCTGCGTTCACCGACGCCTTGGGCGCGGCCCCGCAGTGTGCTGTTCGTGAACTTTGCCCGTCTTACGTACGATGGATTTCTTGCTGATGCTTGCCTTTAGGTTACCTGCGCTCTCAAGGCTCTGCCTCAGTCACCCTGCACCATCGATAATACAACATGTCTGTGTACGAATCCTGTGTTCAATGGCTTCGTGGGAGACTGCGTAAAGACGGCATGCACCGTTCAGGAGGCGCTCAGTATGTGTGGACGGACGATATCACTGACATCGATTGCTGACCTGCTGGGTAGCCGTCACAAATCTGACATGGTCGGCATGCGGATTCCCACTGACTGATACGACGAACACGGCACGATACACGTTGATTTTCTTGCTCATCCTACCGGTCTCGTTCTTTGCCGTCCGGATGATCGCGAGAGGCCTACATCTGACAACATGGGGAGTCGAGGACACGACGATCGTGCTGGCTTTTGTATGTCCGGCGTTTTGCAATGCTACGTGGAACGACACTGACTTGAGCAGATATTCTTCCTGCCTTTTGTGCCAATAACATTCGTCAGTAAGTCTTAGGAAGATCTCTCGAAACCGAGGCAATGGCGGACTAACATCCGGGTCAGTGTTGAATTATGGCCTTGGCCAAGACATTTTTAAGCTGCACCCCTATCAAATCACAATGTTTCTAAAGGTAAGCCTGAAACCCTACAAGACTTCCACAAGATCTTGTCATTAAGCAACCACAGTTACTCTTTGTCCTCCAATTGTTTTACATCCTCGACCTTGCGGTAATCAAGGCCTCGATCATATGTCTCTACCTCCGAGTCTTCAGCATCAGAAAGTTCAGAACAGTTTTGTGGTGCACGCAGGGCTTCAACTTCCTCCTTGGATTCTCCTACGTCCTCCTGAGCCTGGTCCAATGCCAGCCACTTAACCACTATTGGAACGGATGGGACGGCCGGCATCCCGGCAAGTGTGCCGATCTCAACTTGATCGGACTTACCCATGTCGGGCTCAACATTGGGCTGGACGTTTGGATGCTCATTCTGCCAGCGTCCCAAGTATACAAGCTGAACCTTCCCTTGAAGAAGAAGTTGGGAGTCATGGCAATGTTTGGCGTTGGCGTCTTGTAAGTCACCGCTTGCTCAATCCCGGGCTTGTCCCTTTTAACGTGCCTTTAGCCTCACAATTGTGAGCATTATCCGCATCAAAAGCTTATTGGTCTTTGCCACATCTTTCAACATCACTGGTAAGTTCATTCTTCCCCGACGCTGCCTAAGACTTGACGGAATCGTCACTCACCAATACCGCAGCTGAGACTCTCTGGGGTATCATCTGGTCTTACGTCGAGCTCTGCGTCGGAATCTCCGTCGCCTGCATGCCAGCCGCCAGACAGCTTGCAGTCAAGTTCTTCCCGAAGCTCATCGACCTGACCCGCCAGAGCCTGACGAGGTCTACGAGATCTGCTAGATCGACCCAAAACACAAACACCGAACTGCGACCCGTATCCAACAGTCGAAAATCTATGAAGTCCGACAATACAGGAGTCTCTATTCTCCAACCGGATACACGATCTTTAACAGACACAACTACGCCCAAAAGCGCTACTTTCACGATAGATGGATCGCGGCAGCAGGAATGAAGTCGAAGCAGCTCTTCTCTGTACAGCACGAGTACTGGGCGAGGTGATTTTTGGGGAAACATTGGATAAGGAGTCGGCGCAATATGGATTTCTAAGAGTACACACATATACCCGAAGTTTCAATAGGTTCTTAGACAGGTTGACAATTTTGGAAGCATACGAGACATACAAGAATTATCGAGGACAACAAAAATCATTCATGTCACTGGTATTTGATAAGGGCTCCAAGATTCGGGGTTTCTTCCGAATGTGAGAGCGTAATCGAGAGTGAATGGAAAGTAACTGTCATGTCGTTATGATGTCATCAGAAATATTCGTGGTCCTTGCGAAACGAGTGTCTCTCTCTTGTGGAGATCACCCTCTTATCAACTATGTTTCGCTTCAGAGTGGCCAGACTTGGTTGTTTCAATGGGGTTGTGTCATTCAACGACCTCACATCTCTCGATACAGGGCAAGCACATGTCAAGGAGGGCAGCGTTGCATGAAACTGCATTTGTATGTGAGAGTTCAGACGAGTCGGATCATCTCGGTAGGCCTGCTTTTCACCCCCTCAACCATCGGGGCGATTGAAGCTCAAACATGGCTTGTTTGTGGCGATTTGAATGTTTGGGGCATTGGTGGAATGTCCGCATCGGTTTTGATGGCATCCAAGGTGATTCGAGAATTTAGAAGGTACATCCAGAGTTTTTTGAGTGGAACCAGGCCCTGAGTCGGTGATGGTTTTTGCCAAGACTTGTGTGATCTTATCTCGTACATCTCAATCCAATCTCAAGGCCTCAACGTGCAGCGCATTTCGTTTCGCCCATCACTTGAGTTGTGGCTGAGCATCTTGGTAGTAGGGCACGAGGCTCTCAGCTTCATACTGCCAAGGCCGCTGAGCGGTTATTTAGTTTAACAGCTTCAGCGCATCCCAACATACGGGAAACTGACTTGTGTCGCGCTTTTCCGCCAAAAGTATCTGATTCATGGAGAGCGACGGAGATGACGGATAAGGGCACGGAAGGTTGCTTCTCGCCCGTCTTTGGCCGAAGTTAACTCATCCAAACTTTCAGTCTCGAAACATTGTTCTGATGCGATTGAACAGAGTTGCGGGCGGCATTTGACCTTTTTCCAGGAGATATCGGACGATGGCGGTGAACATCGGCAATTGTTGCACGACCCGCTCGCGATGTCGTCTTCTCTTTGCATGCCAAGAAAGACTACTCCGTCACGACCCGAGACTCGGTTCGCGTTCGTTGACCCGCTTGAAACGGCCGATCGGCGGCGGAGCCGAACTTGCGAATGGCGACATTTCGGCAAGGACTCCGAGCGGCTTTGAATGAAGCCGGGGGCACAGGATCGGCATGTGGGTTGCGAAAGTAATAAAACATAGAGACAGCCGAATAGAACAGGCAAGCAAGCATGATAAGTGTGCACGGGCGTATAGATTTTATACCATCTGCACGGATTACTGAGCGTCACAGGACTCCATCTAACATTTGTGGCCTGAAGAAGACCAAAAGATAGGAAACCCTCAAAAAGCAAAAGTATTGGGCCCTAACCAGGGATCGAACCTGGGACCTCTCCCATGCTGAATTGTCAAAGAACAACCCTAAGGGAGAATCATACCGCTAGACCATCAGGGCGAGAAGAAGGAGCGGAGAAACATACTCCGTTGGGAGGGGTGGAGGACAAGCGAGTTTCGTAGCGTCACAACACGACAGTGGGGGCCTCGGAATGGGACAAACTCTTGATCCGCTGAACAGCAGGGACTGCTTCACGTGTGACAGAGCAGCCATAGTAAACTTGAATGACTGGTCGTTAAGCTCTAGAGTCTTTATGTCATGGCTCAAGAAGAGCAGCGGCTGATTATATGTGGAAGTTGTCTGCTGAACTAGAGCCCTATGTACCTTGTTATGCTCCTGTCTCTTGAAGGTTGTAAGGGGTTGCTGGATTCTGCGTTCCCGAGTCCTGGAGAGAGCCGACGGACTCAGATCGACAGGAGAGCCAGGAAGTTACTAGAGAAATATTCAGTATTTATTATAAAGTGCGAAGGTTTCACGAGTGACAACTTGTGTTGCTTGCGGTGTTGAGTATCCTTCTTCGCGGGTTAAATAGGGTAATAATTAAACTTGTGAATTATATTTCAGAGATGAGTGATAAAGAAGTGAGATAGTCCAGCTTCTTGGACTTATTTTTAAACACAATAGAGACTCTGTCAGCTTCCATGAAAAAGTTTCAGGCTGTGGACATGTCGAAAGTATACTATATCTTGATGTCTCAAGATCTGGCACAGTTAATTCGCGGTTTTGCCGTTCAGCTGTTTTCGCTGAGATCTTAAAAGTCAGCCTTCGAGGCTGTTGGTATATTTCATCCAAGATATCTTCTTGTGATCAGAGCACCATATGAATCTCAGTCAGAGACAGCTGATTATTTCGAAGGAAGTCGGTTGTAATACGCTAACACAAGACAAAGTCAATGGTGACAAAAAGTCGGTCACCGAATCACCCATATGACCTGAACTTCTGCGTTTCGATAGGACTTATGCATTCCTGAAACAACCTTGATAATTCATTCAACCCTCTGAGTCGTCGGACTCCAACAAAGTGAGGCAATAACTTCTAGTAATGATGTCTTTTACATTCAGGGGGTGGAATGAACCTGTGACCCAGCAGAGAGCTTAAAGAGAGAGTATGACATTTTACAAGGGATAAATCACGTTTGAGATGCCAGCTGGGACGTATCAATTGGTATGTTTGGAAAGTCCTTGCCCTCAGAAGCAGGTTGGCGGTGCCAAATAATCACCATTGATCAAAGTCAGACCAGCAACATCATGGCTACTAAGGCTTCAGCTCTCCTCATTGCCGTTAACTTATCTTTATGCCACTTGAAAAGTTCCAATCGCAACTGTCATCTCTGCAATTACCATCTTATTTACGTGCTAGGTATGTATTGACTTTCAAGTTGGCGTAGCTCAATAGAGTTTGAACCGTGTTCATGATATCCATGGCTAAATGAACTCCCTCTGACGCACGTCCCATTCAAGCAAAACACGTCGATATTGCGCAGGGGCCAGGTGCGAAGAAACCGGGACATTTGAATTCACCGGCACGTGGCATTTGTTCTCTTATTGCGACCGAGCTTCATTATCAGTCAAACTCAATTCTGACCCAGATGTCGCATTTCGCGACAGGCAATCAACTTGAAATCTTGAACGTTAAAAACATGTTTTGAACGAGACTTGGCCCATCGCTGAGAGACAACGGGTGATGCCCGACCGTGGGGCCGGGAACTGTGCATCAACACAACGCACACATTTGTCGATGGTACATGCCGCGCCCTAGTGGTACGGAAGCAATACAGTGCGAGACTGATAACGGTGTACAGGCTGCAGCCCTTCCGAATGGGAGTCGAGTTCTTCCTACGCAGCTCAATGCTTGCAAACATTTGCGGAGAGTCTTTGGCACCAGTCTTTCATCCTCCTGGGCCGAAAGAATCAAGCCGGTAGGCGGTGTCATGCTGCCAATCTCAAGGCTTATCAGCATGAATGATGGCGTAGCACATTTTGATTAGCATCATAATTGAGAGATTCAGCGAAAAGTAGTCACCAATAACTTCGAATATGATGAAGGGAACTAAGCCAAGGCATAGCACAATGTCGGATGCGCCGGATCCAGATTCCAGAACGTCAACTATGTTTTGGCCGCCGCAGCTATCTCACACATACATCTCATTTCCAGCATACAGACTTTTGAGCTCTCAACGGAGTGGCTTTTAGACAGAAAAAGGGGCGTCCGGTAGGAAAGATGGCATCAACTGGATTCAACACCACGAAGGAGCGGTCAGCTTTGCCGGGCCAAGACTGTCGAAATTGACTCAACTGGACAGCGGTGTGAAGGCTCCAGGAGATAATGGCCAACGCCGGGTCTGGCCAGAACTCGATCGGGTCATTAGCATGGGCATTGATGAGTTCATTAGTGTGGACACAAAAGTGCGAAGGACGGAGTGTATTTCGGTCAAGAAGAGCCCCTATCGTCTGGATTGCTTGTCCTCGGCCCCCGACAATCTCCTTAGATATCCCGAATATTCTAGCTGCGTCGGTTGGTTGTCCCGTCTCCCCGGCGGTCTAGACATACTTCTTCCGAACCATCAAGCAAGGCGTTATGTTGGGGGCTGGGTCCATCTATGCTCCTGAGTCGGTGAGATCCGCAACGACAGCGTATCCCAAGATACTAGCCATTAAAGAGAGCAAGTCTATCGCCTACTGAACCAGTAAAGAAGCAAGATACAAATTGAATAATGGAGAATGCCATCCCCCCTGACGGCTGTACATGCGCTTTGTAACTCTGGTCATGCGCCCGTAGTGGCTGCATAGGGAGAGCTGCTGTGTTTGAGGGGCGAGGCGCCCGCTTTGAGCACCCACTTTTGATGCCAGGCTGTGCCGCGGTGGATGTGTTTGCTTCCTGTAGGCGCGGAGTTGTTGGCTCAAGGAGAAGACCTCATTCGTGCTTGGCAGTGGTTTTATCGAAATCATCGGATGATAGGCCACAACTTTTGTAACATCCTCGGCGGCTACGTCGATAGGGAAACTTTGTGCTGGAGCTACACGAGGCTGGGCCAGCTGCTCCCCGCCACGATGAATGTCGGCGGCCGTCTCATTCTACGCGGTGAAGATTTCTCACAGTAACGGTAATCAAAAAAATCAAAAGGGCTATTTCCGAATGCCTTGGCAAGGATGTCAGTACGTCCAGCAAGGATAGATGACCCAGGTGTGGTCCTGCTGCGCTGGCATTTGGCGGAATCGAGCTCCGACGCGCCTTGCGTCTCCATCGCGTTCTGCCCACGGCATTCTGCCCAACGTGGAGCATGCCGGCTCCTTTGTTCTAGAGAAAGATGTCGACGACATGTCATTTCTGGAGAATTACTTGCGGAGAAGTCTGATTCGGATACTTTGAATTTACGAACGCGAATGACTCTGCGAGAAAACTTGTTTTTTCACGATCATGCGTTCATGGTGTGAGACCGAACGGGAGTCAATGCTACCAAGGAGATGCACGAAATCCACGGA